TAATAGAAACAAAAAATATTAATAATAATAATAGAAACAAAAAAAACGAAGGACTGCAGGGGGAACTCCGGGGGGAGATCAGCCAAGAATGATGCTATAAGCTCTGGAGGAGTCTACTACTTTTCCTTTAAACCAGTTTTGCTTCAGTGTTGTACTACAATAGGCTAACGCTTGATGTCAGCAAAACTAAGTTCTTAACAAAAACACCTTTTCTTCTTCTAAAGACCCTAAATACCCAACGTCTGAGTCATACTGATAATTGCACACCAGGAGGATTACTTAACAAATGAAAAGGTTTGAAGGGAAAAGGGAATACGTCTGGAAAGTCAAGCAAGGATTCATCTCCTGATGTAATAAAAAAGAAATACACAAAATATAGAAAAATAGGAGTTTATAGCTTGTAAATAAAACGGATTACGGCCCTTCAAAAGGGAAGTTGAAGACTGCTTTGCTTACACCTCGCTCCCTTCAATATTGTAGTGCCTTCCACCAGTTCTTTACCGTGACGCTAAACTCAAGGAGTAACCTTACAAATGCATTCAGGGATCTGAACTACTAACCAAAAATGTATCTTATTTATGTATCACTCGGCTGTAGATCCTCAAATCATCTCTGAATTGGTGCCGACACTGTCCTTCCTTCTGGAGGGGGGCTACTTTTGTTCCCCCTGGTGTGTGTTGTAAAGTAGTCCAAGCTCACCACCATGATGGACTACAATCTCAATACAAAGCAGTAAACTAAACATGAGACTGTAGTCCATCATGGTGGCGAGCTTGCAGTAGTGACTACTTTACAACACACACAGGGACCGTGGGGAACAAAAGTAGCCCCCCTCCAGAAGGAAGGACAGAGTCAGCACCACTTCAGAGATGATTTGAGGATCTACAGCCGAGTGATAGACAAATAAGTGACATTTTTGGTTAATAGTTAAAGGTCCCTGAATGCATTTTTAAGGTTTAACTCCTTGAGTTTAGTGTGTAGATTTGAGGATCTACAGCCCAGTGATAGACAAATAAGTGACATTTTTGTTAAGGTTCCTGAATGCATTTAGTGAGTTTAGTGTCACTTTGATCTACAATTGAGTTTCAAGGCTGTGCAAGTTCACGGCAGTTTAATAACCAGCTACTTGAACAGAGATGGTTTGTCAAGAAGCTTTAGGACCTCCATAAGCCCATCAACCCTATCTGCAAATTACAGAGTAGAGGGGTTTGGCCATCATGAAATGGATGGAAAGATATTTTAAATCTGATTGGGGAATCTCTTTGAGGAGACACTTTAATCCGTGCCCATGCAGAGCAAAGCGACAGTATCTCTGCAAGACCCCCCCCCTAAACACACCTGCACCTACTTTCCGTCACTGCCATTGCCAAAATCAGTGCTGTACGTGGATTGGGGGAGCAGTGATGTCACTTGGTCATGTGACAATGCTTGTCTACTAGGCCAGAGCACTGGCCCACAGGCTAAGTGCTCCACCCTACCAGGAAGCACAGGTTAGTGTCACTGGCTGCCATGGAGGAACGAGCAGTGCTGGTAAGGTACATATAAGGTGGTTGAGGACACCGACACTGTCTCTTTGCCATGCACGGGCAAGGTGACTGGTCTCTTAGAAACCTGGACTGAGAGAAATGCAAGGGCTGCCATTTCAGACCTCTCCTAAAAAATGCTAGTTGCATGGCTGCCATGCTGATACACTTTAGCACGGAGTCACTGACCCACTGTATAAAGTTTACAAGCTGTAAAGCCAGAACACCTTATCTGCATACATTTTTAAGTCAGTGACCTAAAGCACTGAAGCCACTGGATCTGCATGACAGTCACTCAATCACGGCCTAAAGATTTACTAAGTGCAGCTTTCTTTTCCAGAAAACAGAAAGGGTGTCTGGGAGTGAAACCACAGCTTCATGTCCCAAGTCCAAGTGAGAAGCCGAGCAGGGGTGTAACCTTGGTGTATGATATACAGAGGCCTCCTTTTCTGCTTTAGCTCGGAGTTCTTTGGAATCATCAATCTGTTATGAACGGCTCTGCTAGCAAATGAGTCGCTTGCATGGGACTGCTGAATGGCTGGACTCATGGCAGAGTTCGGGGTGAGAATACACAGTGAGGCCTCTGGGTTACAGTCGATAGTACAAGCTTAGCATATTATTCTCCTTTAATCCGAGGGCTTCTGAAACGCCCAGAAAATGATCCATGGAACAGTATAGGTACTTATAGGTAATACAAAGTGCCTGAACCCGGAGATCAACATTTTAGTTTTTTTTTTAGCTTTTTAATAGTGGGACAGGTTCCAAAGAAAAAACTAATTGCAAGTAGGCAAGATCTTCATTGCATAAGTGACATATAACGTCTCTTTGGCAAGAAAACCCCTCAAAAACATATGGACTCGCATGTGGAAGGAACTCGAACCCGGAAGGAGGCTGGGTGAATATGCTGACACTAGCAAGGGAATAATGGGTGGTGAGCTAAGGTCTGCTTCAACAATCTCTTAATATATAGAGATGCTAAGAACAGGGTAGTGGAAGAAAACAAAAGCACCACCTTCATGTCCCACAGCGGTTGTAAAGAACTGTATGGTAAAGCACATGTTCACTTGGGAGCGGTCACAAACCTGCACATCTTCGGCACTGATGGGAAAGCCTTATTATCATACATGACCTGCCTTATGTAAAGAGCCTAGAAAAATGCAAAAAACGGACATGAAAGCAAGAGATCAGCCATGTAGATGATACCCAAGGCATCTGTCCAATATCCCTCTAGCAAAGATGAGTGAAATCCTGCACCCGGGGCTCTTCACTAGCTGCTGGTATCCATTCAAGTGAAGCGCGGGCAGTGGACTGGGGGGTTGGGCATATTGAAAACCTGTCTCCTTTCTTCATCATCAAAGTCGTCGTTGTCGGCAGGGTCATAGTCATCACGGAAGCAATCATTGCAGCTCTCATGCTGAAAAGCAAAGAAAGCACTTAAGTGCTATGCACTCGAAATAACCAAATGCAAGACTTCAATTACAACCCAAAAAACCCCAAAAACTCCAATGCCATGTTCAGTATGCAGTGTAAACAGGATATGCATGACTACCTCTATATTTGTAAGCTTACTGAGAAACACATGTACATACTGGGTATGCACTAAAAACTCCTAGGCACTGGGGTCTGTTCAGGTACACACAAGGGAAAAGCAATGGTCATGTCCCCTTGGTATGGTTCTGGGTGGCGTTGGCAAATACTGCTCTGCAAGTCATACTTAATAATCACAAGACACCGGCAGAAGTGTTCCTCAATGATAGGGATCCATCGATACTGATACCAGTTGGTGCCGATACCAAGTATTTGGGCGAGTACTTGTACTCGCGCATATGCTCCGATACCTTCCCAGATACCGGAACTTCCAGTCAGAAGATTTCCTCTGACCGGCAGTGCCATAGGGGAACATGGAGCCATCTTCCCGTCCGATCAGGAAGCTGGGCAACGAGTAATGACCCGCCTCCCTGATTGACCGTGAAGCCGGCTCCATGCTGATTGGCTGGGAAGCTGGTTTCACGGCCAATCTCAATCAAGCCAGCCAAACAACATGGGGCCAGCTTCCTGGGCAATCAGGAAGCTGAGCGGCATGTCATTACCCGCCGCCCGGCTTCCTCATTGCCCGGGAAGCCAGCTCCATGCCAGCGGAAGCACTGGTATTGGTACTCGGTATCGGCGAGTACCGAACGCAAATTATCGGTACTCGTACTCAATGCCAAAAAAACGGTATCGGTGAATCCCTACTCAATGAGAGGACAAGGTGCCTATTTGGGGATTATGTTATTATACTCAAGCCATTTGAGCAGAGGGGCACTGAGGGCAAGAGTGACTATAACTTGTACAATTTCTTCTTTCAGATACACTAACCACTGAACACCAATTATAAGCTTTACTTTGCTCCCAATCCCCACCAAGGGAGCCACTTCACCTGTGTGGTTATAAATGCTGGGGGATGTTCCTGCCCCATATTAGAACTGAGCAAGCAATTTTTAGAAGTGCTGAAATGTTTTAAACATTACTGAACAAGTACAGTTCAACATGGCCAACTACTGCAATCTTTCACCCACATTCCAATTACATCAAGACTCAGGATGTTGTACAGTGCGAGGTGACACTATATACTTACTGTGGCGATGTTAGAGACTCGAAAAGTAGGGCATTTCATATGGAAACGGGGAATGGTTACATTGAAGACCTCGCTCCTCTTGCTCAGGCGGTGGAATGTGTAATAGCCTTCCATGTAGCCGGAGGTTGTTGAGAATGTTGTGCAGCTTGTATACTCGTATGTCTGGCCTGCTCTCAGAATGGGGTAATCTCCTGCAGGTACAATACAAAGGCATTAGGTTCTCTTATTGTGCAAACAGAATGAGCCACTAGACTAAACTCCAGGCACACAGCTAAATACATAGCTGAAATAGAAATATATGAACATCCTGGACTACCAAGACCCCTTTCACACAGGCTGATTATGAGGGGATCCATGCACGGATGACAGATTAATTAGATTCCATGCAGAATTTTAAAACATGGTTAACCCCGTTTGCAGCAAAACTGCCAGCAACAGGGAATAATGATGTCCAGCAAGCTATGTAAAAGAGGTAGCTCCCTGCTCTAGGCTAGAATGGGCTACTAACTAAAGTGCCAATGGCTCTAGACCTGAAAAGGGCTCCACAGCTAACTTTTGGAGTTTGGAAAGCCCCAACCCAGTGCCTGAAGGTCACTTCCGGACTATCCCTGGAACGTCCAGTCCAGGAGCAGGCACACTATTGCCCATTTTGGACTCTCACCTACAACTCCTGGGCCTTGCACCTCTTCCACGTGCCCTTTGGCATTGGTTATTCTCCAGTAGCGGCTATCCAACTGACACGCCTTCTCTGGTAAAGCATCTTTGGCCATGTGCAGTCTGGAGATTAAAGAGACAGGACAGAAATTATTTTCTGAAGGGTAACAAGTGTCTACAGATAAAACAAGGCAACATAACAGCATTACATTTTATCTGTGTAAGTGTTGAAGTAAATGTAATTTCGCACTGAATGACATTTCGTTTGTTAAAGCACCAACTATCACGGTGTTCACCCTATTTTCATGTGGTCAGTGTTGCCGATCTCCTGCAGACAACTGCTGTCTACATGCTCTCCAGTAATGGATGAATGGCATCTCTCAGGGCAGGTATGATGGTGACAACAGTGGACCGTTACATTGTGCCGACACAGACACCGTTACACCCTGTTCCAAATTATTATGCAAATGATATTTTATCATTTACCTAAATAATTGATGTAAACAACAGTCAGCATAATTCTCATGTTATCAACTATTAAGAGTACAATCCAAATTTTATTGAACAAACCCCCTAATGATAACAGTATTTTTTCCAAATGAAAAAGACTTACAATGCACTGTTCCAAATTATTACGCACAGTAAGTTTCAAAACACTTTATAGGTTGTAAAGAACTGAAAATTGTCATTTGTTGTGTTTGCAGCATCTTTTACTGAAATCAAAAGTTATTTCAATCAAACTTTGAACAACATTTTCACTTTTTAAACATTTTAACAGGTCACGTTACATTTTAACATAGGACCCCTTATTTGACAGCAGCTTCACAAGTCTTGCATCCATTGAACTCTTGAGTTTTTGGACAGTTTCTGCTTGAATTTGTTTGCAAGATGTCAGAATAGCCTCCCAGAGATGCTGTTTGGATGTAAACTGCCTCCCACCCTCATAGATCTTTTGCTTGAGGATGCTCCAAAGGTTCTCAATAGGATTGAGGTCAGGGGAGGATGGATGCCACACCATGACTTTCTCTCCTTTTATCCCCATAGCAGCCATTGATGCAGAGGTATTCTTTGCAGCATGAGATGGTGCATTGTCGTGCATGAAGATGATTTTATTACGGAAAGCATAGTTCTTCCTTCTGTACCAGGGAAGGAAGTGGTCAGTCAGGAACTCCACATACTTTGCAGAGGTCATCTTTACACCATCGGGGACCCTAAAGGGGCCGACCAGCTCTCTTCCCATGATTCCGGCCCATAACATGACTCCACCACCGCCTTGCTGGCGTCGCAGCCTTGTTGGAACAGGGTGGCCGTCCACCAACCATCCACTACTCCATCCATCTGAACCATCCAGGGTTGCACGGCACTCATCAGTGAACAGAACTGTTTGAAAATTAGTCTTCATGTATTTTTCTGCCCAATGCAGCCGTTTCTGCTTGTGAGCATTGGTTAGTGGTGGCCGAATGGAAGGTTTATGCACAGTTGCAAGACTCTGAAGGACTCTACACCTTGATGTCCGTGGGACTCCAGAGGCACCAGCAGCTTCAAATATCTGTTTGCTGCTATGTAATGGTGTTTTAGCAGCTGCTCTCTTGATCCGATGCATGGATCTGGCAGAAATCGTCCTCAATGTGCCTTTATCTGCACGAACCCGTCTGTGCTCTGAATCAGCCACAAATCTCTTAATAGTGCGATGATCACGCTTACGTTTTGGTGAAATATCTAATGTTTATATACCTCGTCCAAGGCATTGAACTATTTCACTCTTTTCGGCAGCAGAGAGATCCTTTTTCTTCCCCATATTGCTTGAAAATGGTGCTCTGCTTAATAATGTGGAACATCCTCCTTTAGTAGTGTTACCTTTAATTGGGCTCATCTGGCAATCTAATTATCACAGATGTCAGAGATTGTTTTCAGTGATCAAAAGAGCCCTGAGACACAATGCCATACATGAGTTAAACTGAAAAACAAAATATTTAATCTTTGTGACACTGAAATAGAATTTGCATAATAATTTGGAACAGGGTGATTAGTCTTCACCGAGAGAGCATGTTAGCAGGCATTGTCAGGAGCTCAGGTGTGCTTTACAGAATGTGTGTACCATATTATAAAGTAACCTCTGTGGTCTTGCTAGTGCGGATTAGCAGCATGCAGTTCTCATGTTATTTAGTTTTTTTCAGTTCGGGACCTCCCTGGGAGATAACTGTAAGCGGTTTGATTTTTGAGTGACACTAAACTCAGGAGTTAAACCTTAAAAATACATTTAAAATACCTTAACTATACCTGTACCTAATTTGTGCATCAGTGTGGCTACTTTTGTTCCCCCGTGGTTCCAGTGTGTGTTGTAAAGTAGTCACCGCTCCAAGCTCACTCCCGTGATGGACTACAATTTCACATTTAGTTTACTAATTTGTATTGAGATTGTAGTCCATCACGGGAGTGAGCTTGGAGCGGTGACCACTTTACAACACACACAGGGACCATGGGGAACAAAAGTAGCCCCCCTCCAGAAGGAAGGACAGTGTCAGCACCAATTCAGAGATGATTTGAGGATCTACAGCCGAGTAAAACACACATGACACACATTTATGTTAATAGATAAGGTAGTTGAATACATTTTTAAGATTTAACTTCTGAGTTTAGTGTCACTATCAGTGATGGAAAGGTAAACCACTTTACTGACCGCAAATAATCAGACGTTATGCTTGAAATTCCCACCCTAAACAAAAAAAGGAATTCATTGCACTGCAGTAGCAAAAACAAATTAGAAGCTCTTGCTGCAATACTCACCCTATTTCTGGGGCAGCCCCAACCAAGAGCTGGCCATGAACATAATGAGGGGAATTCATCAAAACTGGAGCAGACAAAATCTGTAGCAGCTGTGCATGGCAACCAATCAGTTTCTCTCTTTCATTTTCAAATCTTAACTGAACTGAAGAGAGAAGCGGATTGGTTGCCCTGGGCAACTGCTCCAGGATTCTGTCTGCTCCAGTTTTGATAACCCCCCCTCCCCCACATTATGTTTGTCTATAGATAAGCTGATCAGCATGGGTTCATACTCACTTGATTCTGTAGGTAAAGAAAAAGTGCGGCGGGTGGATAGAGCTCAGCTCAGGGAGGAAGGAAGTGGAGACTGACACAGAGATCTCATCGGTAGAGGCCACACAGTCCTTGTCATGTTCATACCTGGTGGGAAAAAAAACGGTTACAAAGACCCGATACACAACATGAACAGGAGACTTGGTTTGAAATATTCCAGAACAACACAGTATGCACTAATATTAACCACACAAAATTGCCTTGTTTTCTGCAACCAGACTATCGCCTGAACAAGCTATTCTGGTCTGGGCTCTGCAAATCCAGGTGCTAGGCCTGGTATGTTTGGTTTCCTGCACTGGGTTTTATTTCCTTACACACTAGCTGTGTTGGTTTCTTAAATACGAGATGAAGTTGCAACATGATTCTAACCTGGAGCAAGTACAGCGCAGACCTTATAAAGGCCTCTAAAAGTTTATATATACCAATGTTCCACTATAAAGACCTCTAGACTGCCCACTTCCCTATCTGATCCCATGTGAGTCAATAGGATAAGTTTGTATTCTGTTCACGCTACCTGAAGATCTGGTCCCTGATGATGGGGTAGTCACATGACACCACACGCTGCACATAGGTGGTGAACCACTGCGAGAAGGAGGTACCTGACATGGAGAGAATAGACAAGACTGGCATCAGATAGTCTTATAAGACTAAGGCTAGCCATACACAAATAGATTTCTCAGTAGGTTCCTCCATCCATGCTATATAGTGTGGAAGGAGAAATCTGCACTGCCAGCTATTGTACTCAATATAACTGGCACTCATGGCTACCTCAATACCCCCGACGGTAAGTGCATCTTATAGGGTGCAGTCAATGTTCGGCTGAGAATTTTCCACACAGCTCAGTCAATTTTTAAATTGACTTTTGCCAAGCTGGCAAACGGGCTGGCCAATAGGGCAGCACATGGCTTCAATTTCAGCCGATTCAGCAGTAATTAACCAAAATTCAAGCCTTGTATGGCTAACTTAATTGGGAACGGACAATGCCTAATCCTCCTCTTTACTCGCATTTAAAAAGGGAAACCATAAATAACACAGACCATATATACCCACACTTCCATACACACGATTAAAGCCTCATTCACACCAGAAAAAGCCAGCATGTACAGCTCCGTGCTGCGTGCACGGCCGTATCGGGCAGCTCCCGGGAAGGACAGGTGCTGCGGATGATTAGTACGCAGCCCCAGTCCTTCTCTATGGGAATACGAGGCCGTACACAGCCCTATGCTCACCTCAAGTGCAGGTCCGTACAGGTCCGGGTGTCCCGGCTTGGACGCAGACAGTATCCATCCTGTCAGCGTAAGAGTACGGACAACCGCACGGACGTGCAGTGCGGGTGAGCGTACGGCTGCATATTCCCATAGAGAAGGACCGGGGCTGCGTACTAATCACACGCATTACCTGTTCTTCCCGGGAGCTGCCCGATACGGCCGTGCACGCAGCATGGAGCTGTATGTCCCGGCCTTTTCTCGTGTGAATAAGGCCTTAATTTACAGATAAAGGTTAAAAAGACGGAACAACCTTTGAAACATGAGAAATGTAAAAAGGAAAGCAGCGATACTCACCTTGCCTTCAGAGCTGTCCATTGCAGAACTCTGCTCCACCGCTGGTCTTTTTCCAGGTTGAATGATTTAAATAAGCTACCATAAATCCAGGGTGTCATGGACCCATCTCCTGGGGGTTTGTGACCAATTCAGCCTTGGGCTTACAGTAGAACAGGAAACAGATCTCTGCATTATTTAAGACTGCCCACAGCCGGGAGAAGGGAAAGACAACACAAGGATGCCATGTGACCAGTCAGAGGACTGCTGAATAAGGGTCATTTTTTAAGATATGCGGGTGAGGGCTCAATGGACAAAGGATTTCAAAGCGCTGTTGGTTAGCTATGGAGAGCATCCAGAGAGCACACAGAACTCTCGTCACCCCACCACCATTGGCTGGAGAATAAACAAACATTCATAAACATTCATAAAGGCTGAAAGACATGGAGAATCTGAATAGCTACCACTGATAACAAGACCATTGTTTTATTGTGTCCCAAATACTATAGAACCGACATGCAAATAATGCTAAATCAAGTATTGAAAGCACCCAATGCACATGTTACAAGTAACTCTCTCAATTAGAACCCAAAACAACATATCTTACCTATGATGAACATGTCCAGGGCAGCTGGGTTATGTGCCGTCTGGTCCTGAAATATAGAACATGAGCATTAACACTTAGAAAAACCTAAGGGAACGAGTCTGCTTTAAATCACGCAATAGCTATTCAAATCTATTATTATGAATTTCTGGTACGTGAACATTGGCCATTGGACTCCGTTTTCACTGTATGTGGGTGTGCTTATTGGGGTCACTTTGGAGACGAGTAATCTCTGCTGTGTATGCAGCTGGCAATAGCCGCTAATTCCTTTAACTGTGTTGTAGCTAGAGGAGTATAACTAACAAAATAGCAAGAAATGTTTGCTTGGGTCCTTAGTGGCTACTAAACATTAGTTCATATGTCATGACAACACGTTTCCATTTAGTCATACATAAAAAAAATCCTTACTGGACACTGATAGAAGATTTCATTGCGAGATCTCCCTTCCGCATCTGCCAGTGCCAAGTACTGGCTGAGCCCTGTGTGGATACAGAAAGTGATAGGCAAGCACTGGTTGAGCCCCGTCCTGCGCTGGAAGCCGCCTGCTGCTGTGTCGATGTCCAGGAGGTCCTCCGACCGGTAATGGTTTGACAGAGCCATGCTGCCCATTAACCTAGAACAGAATCATGGCATATGAAAAGCAAAAAACAGCACAGGGTAAATAGAGTTTCATGAGTAACCAATCAATCTATAAAGGTGCTCCAGATATCCAAGGACATTTTGCTGAAATCCAAGTCTCCTTAACTGTAGGATACTTAATCTGGGTGGCACTACAGGGACTAGTCACGTCGTCATTCTGTGCGGAAACCATCTCCTCATTGTCCAGTGAGAGGGCAAGGCTGTAGTAAGTTCAGAAGAGGGTCGAGCTGGAACTAAGGATCTCACTGCATTCTTGCAGTATTGGTTTCACAACCAAACGACTTTGAGATGTTGACTTGGCCTCCAAATTCTTCAGATCTCAATCCTATCGAGCATCTGTAGGGTGTGCTGGAAGAACAAGTCAGATCCATGGAGGCCTCACCTCAACTTACAGTCCTTAAAGGATCTGCTACTTATGGCTTGGTGTCAGATACCACAGCATACCTTCAGAGGTCTAGTGGAGTCCATGCCTCAGGAAAAAGGGGCCTACTCAATATTAGGTGACCCGTGTCCACCACCAAAAGTGCGTACAATGGGCAATTGACCATCAGAACTGGACCACAGAGCAATGGAAGAAGGTGGCCTGGTCTGATGCATCATGTTTTCTTTTACATGTGTGCGTTGCTTATCTGGGGAAGAGATGGCACTATGGGAAGAAGGCAAGCCGGCGGAGGCAGTGGGATTCTTGGGCAATGTTCTGCTGGGAAACCTCGGGTCCTGCCATTGATGTGGATGTTACTTTGACACGTACCACCAACCTAAACATTGACCAAGTACAACCCTTCATGGAAACAGTATTCCCTGATGGCAGTAGCCTCTTTCAGCAGGATAATGCGCCCTGCCATACTGCAAGAATGGTTTGAGGAACACAACAACGACTTTGAGATGTTGACTTGGCCTCCAAATTCTTCAGATCCCAATCCTATCGAGCATCTGTGGGATGTGCTGGAAAAACGAGTCAGATCCATGAAGGCCGCTCACCTCACATCTTACAGGACTTAAAGGATCTGCTACTTATGGCTTGGTGTCAGATACCACAGCATTCCTTCAGAGGTCTAGTGGAGTCCATGCCTCAGGAAAAAGGGGCCTACTCAATATTAGGTGGGTGGTCATAACGTTATGGCTGATTGGTGTGTGTGTGTGTAATATATATATATATATTAGAAAAAAACACAAACAAGGGGCGCCTTTCCTGGTGCAGACAAATTTATGGTATCTGATGAAGGGGGCGTGAACCCGGAAACGCGTCATCACACAGTCTCCTCTGCTGACACATAGACACGGCTGTGCAGCTTTCACAGACTTTTCCTTGGGTCCATGGACTTAATTTTTAAACTTTTTATACTTCAATCATGAATTTTGTGAGTATGTTTTATATTTACCTCCAATCCTGATCCTAATAAATTTGTCTGCACCAGGAAAGGCGCCCCTTGTTTGTGTTTTTTCCCTAGATTTTGCAGTCTCCCTGGCTGGTTTGGGGCAGCATCCTACAGACATTTTTATAAACGTGCTTTTATTTATTTATTCATCAATTTTTATTCATCTAATCAATTCTTAAACAGACTTTGATTCTGACTATACTCGTGTGTTTATTGGTTTGTACTGGTTGAGCAGTCCTCTCTGCCGCTTTTTTTGTGTTTTCATCTGGATAGAACAGGTGTTAAAGGGGCCTGCTCAATATTAGGTGGGTGGTCATAACGTTATGGCTGATTGGTGTGTGTGTGTGTAATATATATATATATATTAGAAAAAAACACAAACAAGGGGCGCCTTTCCTGGTGCAGACAAATTTCCGACACAAGAACACAAGACCCCCTTAAAACCCATATTACATACACAAGTAGGCTGTTAAAATATGGAGGATTGCCCCATCACAGCAGCAAAGATCTGATCTCTATAGGTTGAACTCGATGGACTTGTGTCTTTTTTCAACCTATGTAAAGATGTAATACCGCATTCCAACACTAGGCCGGAGCCTTTTTACTGACTGGTTGGAAAATATTTGATGCTCTATGCAGAAATTGCTATCAAGACTCGCTCTCCATTACTCACCCAGGCACCACAAGCTTCTGTCCGTTATGAATTCGCAATGAGCATCGATAATCATCTGGAAGTTTACAGCCTACCCTTTCTTCAACTGCATCAATATCTTCTTCCTGAACCCCGGCTACCAAGCAATGGAATAAGGTCAATCATTAAAAAACACTAACATCAATTCGTCAAACATTTGCATTAAAGTAAACAGAGTAAAAAAAAAAAAAAAAATATATAATCAAAAATTCCTGCCACATACAGTAGTTATATATAACTGGAGATGATAGTTGTACTCCAATTTCCCTTTAGTAATCACACTCTAATGCACAACCTAAAAATATACCTTTTAGTGAGCTGATCATTCGTGGGCAGTTTTCATTCAGATACTCCTCGAGAGAATCCCAGGTTGTCTTCAGCTTGGCATAGTGATGAATGTATCGCCCCATGTCCGAGTAATACTCCATAAAAGTTGCCTTCCAGCTTCTGTTCTTTTTCTTATCACTTGAATGAGAAAATATTAAAGTAATAGTTAAGGAAAAAATAGAAATTAAAACACCTAAAATAAATCAAATTGTTATATAAAGTGCATCAGCCATAACATTATGACCACTGAGAGGTGAAGCGAATAACATTGATTATCTTTAAAATGGACAAGTGTAAGGATTTGAGCGACTTTGACAAGGACCGAATTGTGACGGCAAGAGGACTGGGTCAGAGCAACTCCAACACTGCAGCTCTTGTGGGATGTTCCCGGTCTGCAGTTGTCAGGACCTACCCGGTCCCAGGAAAACCAGGGAATATGCCCGTGTAGTCCGATCCAATAGAAGAGCTACGGTAGCTCAAATTGCTGGTTCCAATGAAAAGATGTCTGAACACACAGCGCATCGCAGTTTGTTGTGTATGGGGCTGCGTAGCTTCAGACTGGTCAGCATGCCCATGCTGACCCGTGTCCACCACCAAAAGTGCCTACAATGGGCAATTGACCATCAGAACTGGACCACAGAGCAATGGAAGAAGGTGGCCTGGTCTGATGCATCATGTTTTCTTTTACATGTGTAGGATCATGGTTGGACAGCTGGTTGAGCCTTCGGTTAACAAGACTGCAGCTACAAGAAAGAATCGTACAAGTAAATATACAGAAACAGATTATTTCATGTAAGTATACAGGTGAAACCCTACTTGCAAATCGAATTTGCTACCTAGTACCCAACCAACATTGACTGTTTGGTAAATGGACCTCTTTGGTACCGCTGTAAGAAGAGAGACAGAAACAAAGACAAATACGGACAAAAATAATAATGGGAAAAAAAAAAAGATGAGAGGGAGAGATCAATATAGAGAACGGAAAGAGCAAACCAATGCAAATGTTAGAAATGTGAATTTGTATTACTGGATGTGGCCGTTACTGCTGACCTCCTCCCGAGGATGCAGGCTCTGTCCCCGAGCCAAACAAAAAGCACTCGGAGAGTCTGAGATCCCCTCTGCAATCTAGATCAGCATCCAGATTTAGACATTCCTGCAGGAGATCAACAATGGCGGTCCTTGTGTTTCTCTGTGATAGGTATCCTTGAACATTTCAGGGGAGGTTATTTTTATAAAGCATAAGTACGCTGGAATGTGGAATTGCTGACTTCTGCTAATGCTTCCTTTCTTGTTGTCATTTCAAGTAAGTGAAATATGGACTTGTGACTTTTCTCTGCCTTTCCTGATGCGCATAATTATTCTACGTCAGTGACTCAGAATGCACTGAATGCAGGTCACCATAAGAGCCAAGTAACTAGCATTTTCAGGGTGGGCAGCAATGGCAGCTGACAAGGTCATACGTGTTGCAGGACAGTTATACTTTAAAGAGACCCAGTCACATTACTAAGAATCTCTTACTAGTCCACCCCCCTCCGAACTTATACTCGTCTACACTGCACTCCTCCACCATTCTTCCATTCAAAACCTGAGTAAGCTCCGACACAGATTAGCTGATGTCCTCCTCAGGTGACAGTGTTCAAACCTGGGAATTCCCCGCTCAGGCCTGCACCTGGGAGGGGTCACATGCGCCTCCATATTCACAAACACCAGGTAGTTGCATCAGCGCCAAGGGAGAAGTGGGAGGGTGGCAATGTGAGCCTATATAGGTCAGAGGTGGACTAGCAAGCGTCGCTTTGCCCTTCATGGACAAAGTCCCTTTATAATGCAGCTAAAGCCTAACTGGCTGACATTTAGTTTGTTGAAGCACAGTGTAGTGAGCATGTTATTTAATGTTTACTTCCTTCTTATCATCTCAGTGCTGTTGGTCTCCTCCAGCCTCTTTTACCCAGTTCCTGTCTACAATGTATGTTGGCACAGGCCACTTGCGGGCTCCAGCATGGACGTGACAGGGTGACGCCACAGGAGCCACTTCCTGTCTACATGCAATCGCTCCAGTGTTGGCTTTGCATCGTTGTCCTGATGCTTCCTGACCGCGAGAATAGTGGACCGTGTCTGCACAATGTGTGTTGGCACAGGCCACTTGCAGGCTCCAGCACGGACGTAACAGGGTGACAATGCAGGTACCACTTCCTGTCTATATGCAATCGCTCCAGAGTTGGCTTTGCACTGTTGTCCTGATGCTTCCAGGACAGTGACAACATCGGACCGTCTCTGCACAATGTATGTTGGCACAGGCCACTTGCAGGCTCCAGCACGGACGTGACAGGGTGACAACGCAGGAGCCACTTCCTGTCTACATGCAATCGCTCCAGCACTGGCTTTGCATCGTTGCCCTGATGCTTCCTGACAGTGACAACAGCGGATCGTGTCTGCACAATGCATGTTGGCACAGGCCACATATAGGCTTCAGCACGGATGTGACAGGGTGACAACGCAGGAGCACAATTTGAACACCGATGTCATCCTATAACGGAAGTGCCAGGACAAAGCCCTTCATAGCAGGATGACCAGGAATTTAATTTAATGAAAGCTCCATATTGAAAACTAGAGCTGCAGCTAACGATTATTTTCAAAATCGATTAGTTAGTCGATTATTAGGTTGCTGGGTTTTGTAGTCCTCTATAGCTGGTGGTATTCAGCATTGCACCACTATATAATGTACTATTTCTGGGATTTGTAGTCCTCTATCGCTGGTGGAATTCCGCATTGCGCTGTATAATGTATTATTGCTGGGATTTGTAGTCCTCTAGTTGCAGCCCTATTGAAAACGTCTCTTGAGATCACATTAACATGCAAGCTAATAGGAGAGTCTAATGATTGGGTATGTAGCTACATTAAAGCAGAGCTGTGGGCACAAATCTCTATTAACCCTTGCAGTGAGGCGACCCACGCCCTGCAAGGGTTAACTGCTTATTATTGTCTAGGTAAAAAAAAAAAAAAAACATTTATACTCACCGATCCTCTGGACGGGCCGGCTGTCACAGCGCTCCCTCTATGCTTTAATGATGGTATGTCCCTCGACCTCCTCACGTCCTATACACTGTGTATACAACGTGATGACTCAGGGACCTCACAAGTGAGATGAGTGGAGGTGGAAGGGACCGGTATTAAGGTGGCCATACACTTTACAACCCTCGCAAGACTTTTGTCTTGCGAGGGTTGTAAAGTAATTTAAAAAAACGTACGATCTGCCCTTCTTGGACAGGCAGATCGTACTTGCGATCACCGCAATGCTGAATGGGCCCGTTCGGCAGTCATCTCTCGATCATGTTAAAAACCCGCCGAAAAATCGTACGATTCTCGGCTGGTTTTCCAACATGCGCGATATACAAAAGTCGTGCGACCGTACATTAGAAACAGTCGCACGCCTTCCATACACTGCACGATCGTGGGATTTCGTACGAGAATCGTGCAGTGTATGGGCACCTTAAGAGCAAGCCGGCTCCACGGTCCAGGTGAGTATAACCTAGACAAATACGAGCACTTAACCCTAACCCCGCGGGGGGGCTGCTGGCGTTGATAAAGTTTGTGCCCAGAGCTCTGCTTTATTGCATCTAATCAGAACAGACTCAGTGGAGGGACTTCTTTTACATAGAATCTTAGGGAGATTATATAAGTTTGTGTCTTTTGTTATGAAACCAAAACATCTGCCGGCAGCTACGCTTCACCAAGCCAATTAGGTTTATGAAGGAGCGGATCACAGCCGCCAGACTGGCATGGCGCCAACACATGTACGGCTAATGTACTTTGTGCCAGCTTGCACTGGTGGACTCCCGACATGATGTACACAGAAGCGAAGGAGGGGCCTAGACAGAACCTGTTTACTGTTTTCGAGGATCTGTCCCTGCGAGATAACAAGCCCCGAAGGTGCCTCTATGATGATATCCGCATCGCATGCTTATCTGTCTGCACCACGCCAATGCCTTACATGCAAAGTATCGCTCCATTTGCCAGTCAGAGGACTTGGCAGAACTTCTGGGTATTGGGGGGGGTCACGTGGCTCACCCACTTCTTTCCACGATGTAAGGGGCGTGCTCATACACACGGGGGCAACTGAAGTAAAAAGTTGGGCTTTGTTCCACACGTGGGCGGCTCAGCTCCGCGTAGACATGAATGGCTGAGCACAGCTGTACGCGGGTATGTGCTGGCACTTGTATAGACCCGGGTATAGCGTGCGGACATATTCCCCCAAACACAGACGGCTGAGTGGAAGTGTTAAAGTGCAACTAAAGCCCTTCTGTGAAGAAAAAGAAAGAAAGGAGAAGCGAGAAAGAAGTACAACTGAAGCCAAAACTTTTTTTCCTTGGCTAGGGAGGAGAAGGATTAAAAACAGTTTTTATTTCTGTTTGCATCTTCGTTAGGGAGAGTCACCGTTCTCTATTTGTCCTGATCAGTGAGAGAAAGTCCCAAAGTATGGCTTGCCACCCCGAACAGGAACAGATGGGGAATTTGCCAATCAGGACATTAGCTCTGCTGACCACCACAAATTCCCTCTAACGTGCTGTTGTGCCAGGAAGTGGAGGAAAATCTCCCCAATGGGGTTAAAAAAAAAAAGCTGACAAGTAGGGATGCACCGAGTATCGATATTTATATTTCCGCACTCGCCGATACAGAGTACCGATACCGGTACTTCCGGTAGCATAGAGCCGGCTTCCCGGGCAATCAGGAAGCCAGGCGGCGTGTCATTACCCACCGCCCGGCTTTATGATTGCCCAGGAAGCAGACTCCATTCTGTTTGGCCGGGAAGCCAATCGGCATCGAGGCCGGCCAAACAGATCTGACAATATGGTGACACGACCCCCACCCTGCAGGCACCTCATTCCCCTCACATAGATCCTCAGCAGCATTCATTACCGTACCAGTCCCTCGGCCAACTGGGCAGACACCGCGCTCCAAGATCTGCCCACGTCTCCTGCGTTTACAGCGCCCACGTGATCTGCCCTCAGCCCGATGCCGCGCATGCACAGGATTTCTGAATGGAAGCGCTGGGCAGTCTGCGGGAGATAGTGGAGAGCGGTGTCTGCCTAGCTGGCCGAGGGACTGGTATGGTAATGACTGCTGCTAAGGACTAGTGATGGGCGTGGGCGTGTTCGCAAGCGCCTCGTGCCGAGCCCGCCGGGCCAATCACAGGCACTGAGACATGTTCCCGGTCCGCAGCTGCAGAGATCGGGAAATGTCTCAGTGCCTGTGATTGGCCCGGCGGGCTCGGCACGAGGCGCTTGCGAACACGCCCGAGTCCCTCACTGCTAAGAATCTATGTGAGGGGAATGAGGTGCCTGCAGGGCAGGGGTTGTGTCACCATATTGTCAGATCTGTTTGCCCGGAACAACACTGATTGACTGGGAAGCTGGCTTCCTGGCCAATTAGCATGGAGCCAGCTTCCCGACATTGTTTCCTCACGGCACTGCCGGTCAGATGAAATTTCCCTCTGACAGGAAGTTCCAGTATAAGGAAAGGTATAGGAGCATTTGGGCGAGTACAAGTACTCACCCAAATACTCAGTATCGGCACCGATACCAATGCTAGTGTCGGTGCATCCCTAATTATAAGCCTCCCTTACCTTATCCAATACAAAATATAAGTTTGGGCTTCAGATCCAATTTAAAATCCGTGAGTTTACATTTTCTTCACTTCCTGTCTCACAACAGGAAATGAGATCTCTCCAAAGTATCCGGTCTAAAATCGGCTATACGCGGTTAGAATTTCGTTCCACTTTCTAATCCTCGATGAGGTGAAGTAGATGATCGATTTCGTCCGCAGTGACGAAAAAAACGTAAATATGTTGGAAGATGTTTCCTGATGGAACGAAACTGTATCAGTGAATGTGGATATCCTTCGGAAACTACATTCATTCCAAACTAAAAATGTTAAATAAAAACTAAAACCAAACAAAATTTCGAAGGACCTTCGCCAGGCCTGTGACGGCGTTATGGAACGTTCCCATGATTTTTCGTACAAACATCTGCCCGTGTGTTCCGTACTATAGAGCTTGTCACCACTGGCGGAAAACCAGTGTCTCTTCCACCTTCCCCCGGAGCTGCCTCCAACCAAAAGACGGTCACACCGGTTAAACAACTCAGAGCATTTCCAAGCGTTAAATATGTGCCGCCAGAGGAGACAAGCCCATAGAACAGGTGTAAGGGAACCTTGGGCCTCCAGCTGTTGAGGAACTACAAGTACCATGAGGCATTGCAAGACTGACAGTCACAGGCATGACTCCCAGAGGCATGATGGCATTTGCAGTCAAGGATACCTACCCCTGCCTTAGCCATGTCACTGAGTTGTCACTGTAACAAGTGTTCCCACCCAGACATATGGGGGGGACAGGGACACACCACGACATATGGGGGGACAGGGACACAACACACCATACAACCAGACATAAGAGGGGCACACACCATACACCCAGACATAAGGGGAGGATGCAAAATAACCAGACATGAAGGGGGGACACAATACTCCAAGAAGTGAAAGAAGGGGGATAATAACAGACACAAACACACACGTCGCTACACTGGGTGACCCCACCATCATAACCTGCTATAGTAAACACACCAGGTGACCCGGGGGGAGAGTAATGCAGGCTGCACACCTCTCAGGGGAGTGGGGGAAGTATTTGCAGGACGGACACATGGTGACACACAGTGGACCATTTGTACCTGAGAAGGTCCCGGAAGTCCAAGTAGGACAGGATCAGCAGCAGAGGGTCAGACGGCAATTCGGCCAGTCCCAGTTCCCCGGCCCCAGCCATCTTGGTGGCGACCCACAGAGCAAACGCGGCTCCTCCCCTTCCCACCGGCAGACCACGCCTTCAAAGAGATATCGAATTCCAGCCCCTGTCTAGCGACCTGCAGCTCGACCACGCCTCCGGGGAGGAGTCAGGTACCTTGGAAGCAGGCACGCATCGCCTTTGCGTGCTAGCTCCCGTGAGCATCCGCGTAATCTCTTGTCTCTACTGCGCATGCGCGGCCTTTTCACCTTGCGCGAGGATAGGGTCACGTGACGTGGCAGGGCACCGCGGCGGCGCCTGAGTTCCTGCCCAAGTTGTCAGGCAGTGAGAGACCTGCGAGCGCATTATCTATCTGTAAGCCCGTATTAACCCTTTCCGTTCTACTTTCAGAGCTTATTAAACCTTTCCCACCTACCACCAACTTGGATAATCTCTTATGGCAGGTGTAGGGCCAACATAGGCCTTCCAGCTGTAGTGTAACTACAAATTCCATTACGCCTTTCCCTAGGGGTGTCTTGCCTGTGGCTGTCAAGTCCTGTGGCTGTCAAATCCCATGAGGCATTGCTGTTGCAATGCCTCATGGGATTTGTAGTTCATCCGAGGTACTTTACACATTTATTCAGTCATGTAACGCCGTACTAAAATACATTTTATATCATTTTTTTCGGGACAGGTAGAGCTTTCTTTTGGTGGTATTTAATCACCACTGGGTTTTTTATTTTATTTTGTACTATATAAAAAAAAAAAAAAATTACTGGACAAACAAAAAAAACACCTTTTCCCTATGTTATGTTATAAAACAATTATTATTACCCAATTTCGTGGTTAAAAAAATGGGATTACATCGGGTAAATAGACACCAAACATGTCAAGCCTTAAAATTGCACGCGCCCTTAAAAAAAACGTAAAAAATGACCACACCGAAAACTGGCCATAGGCGACGCTTTAAACGCTTTTACCGCTCATCAGCTTAGTGTTATCAGTGATTAATGGCCATAAAATTAGTGCTCTCACTGCAACGTGAGTGACAGTCACGGCTCTCTGCAGCGACAGGATCGAGAAGTGAGCGAGCGACGGTATGTGTTCCCTCACTTCCCGATCTATTGAGCCGACCAGTGACAGTTTCATTGTCACACGTCGGCTCCAACTATGAGGATGAGGGATTTTCACTCGCCTCATACTTCTCCTTTAAATGATGTTCTGTTGCCACAAGCTTGTGAATTGTAAATATTTGTATAGAGATGGGAATAAAAAAAATATCATCAGACAAAAGTTGAACTATTTATAAACAATGAAACAAAATGGAAAGTAGAATTTGTGAATGACCACTAGATGGCAGTATTGGAACACAGACCAGCGGGGCAGTGACATAGCACGTGTTAGATGCAGCAGCAACAGCTCATTGTGATTCTACAGCGGCACGCGACTGACTAAAAAAGCACTTTTACTTTTAGGCACTTTTGCAGTTAAAGGAGAACTATGGGGTTAATAGTTCTCCCTGGGGTAACGGGAGGACACAAACTAGCGTCCTCCCGTCACCCTAAGCTCAGTATACCGCGAGCCCCTCCCCTGTCACGGCAGAGAGCTGTGACAGGATCGAGAGGTGAGCGAACGCCGGTATGTGTTCGCTCACTTCCCGATCTACTGAGCTGACCTGTGACAGTCTCATTGTCACAGGTCGGCTAGAACTATGAGGTGAGTGAAAAGCACTCACTCCATAGTTCTCCTTTTAAATTTGAGAAACCCCTTACTATATTTTTGTTATGTGTTCCCATTCACACAGCAATTCTAAAAATACATTCCTTTACACAAATATATCTTACCTGTTAGATGTCTCTTTGGTGAAAGTCTTTGTGCAGATTCCAGGCTACTCCGAGCAGTTTCAAAGTGCAAGTACAGGGTCATACCGATGGACAGACTGAGCTTCCTCTCATTAGCATACAATGCTTCTAAGTCTTTAACCCTTTGTTAGGACCGACCGTGTTCAAATCTAGTTTACAACTGATAGTGAAGATCTGCCAGCACAGTACAGACAGTGGTAATTAGAGTAAACGTAACTTTCCACAGCCCCCTCCTTACCCTTACATAGGTATGATTTTTAAAGTAGAACTGGGGGGGGGGGGGGAAAAATTGTTAACCCTTGCAGTGGGGCTACCCCCCAACACTGCAAGGGTTAACTACTTGTTTTTGTCTAGGTTAAAAAAAAAGTTATACTCACCCGATTCTCAGAGCCGGCAAGCTGTCACAGCACTCCTTTCTGCCTCTTCTCCTCCACTGCAGCGGCGGTATGCCCCCCAATGTGTATAGAACATGATGACTCAGGGATGTAGATTGCTGGAGAGAGGCTCCAGGGACCGGTCTAAGAGCAAACCGGCTTGGAGGATCAGGTGAGTATATTTTGTAAATTTTATAACTTAGTTGAAAACGAGCCTTGAAGGCCGGTGCATCCACCGTCAGCCATAACAGAGCGCAGGTCGATGGGTTCAACAGCTAGTCCAAGGGCCGGATATGGCACACGGCTGTAAAATGCCCAGGTCTGCTTTCAGTATCTTGCTAGTCGGCCCAGCTGGCTCTCAAAATACCCGAACAATCTGATTGGACGCAGGCATTGTTCAAGTGTTTTAAAAGCCAGCAGGGCCGACTAGCAAGATGGTGAAGCTTGGCCCAGCGGGAGATTCCTCCATCCGCACAGTTTAGCGTAGATGGGGGAATCTGTTGCACTCTTTCCATCTGACCATAGGAAATCTATAGGTGTATGGCCGGCTTTTCGTTGTTTTTTGCTTTTTGTTTTCACCGAAACAGGCGTCTTTGCCGGAAAAATACTTCCCCTTTCGGTAACAACCGTTCATTTTTATATTCCTCATTACTTTGTGTCCGGTGATAATGGCTCCCAGAGGAAATAGAGAGGATCAGTAGTCTCTCCAGCCAGAACACAGCAAGATTCCAACCCCTTTCACATTCTGCCCAAAGCTAAGAAAAGAAAAGCTGTATACTGGCGGTAACGTGTACGCTGCCATTCCAGCCTAATGTAACGTGCTGCAGACTCTTCATGGAATGCCAGCAAGAAGATCTCACCAGAGAAGAGAGCAGTGATATATTGCTAATGTACGGGGGCTGTAAGCTTTCCCATAATAGGCTATGGAGCTGAGGTGCACATGCACAGCTTGCCAGCTCAGAGTTTTTTTTATAAACCCGAAGGCCTTTGTCCGGCTAAAGTCAGAGAAGTGCAGCATTCTGGTCCAACATATCTTATGAAAGGTGGAGTAGGGGGGGCAGTGGAGGAAAAAGAGTTACGAGTCCCAGTTTTTTCATGACAAACCTTTGTAATGGAATTATATTACTGAATTTATTTAAATCAGGAATGCGCCGCAATTTTGGCCGAAAGATGGTACTTTCGGCATTTTGCCAAAAGTGCAAATTTTGGCTGATAAGTTTCGGCGGTCGAAATTTCGGTGCATCCCTAATCAAAATGCATTCGATGTCTGTTTGACTGATCAAAAAGGGAGCAAACAAGAGTTCATTTTCCCCATAGTTCTCTTAAGGGTCACGGAAGGACATATACTAGCGTCTAGGGTTGCACAGATACTAAGTACAGTACTCGTAACAAGTACAAGTACCGATACTTTTGAGCTCCAAGACTAGAAAAAAATTCAAAAATTAGGAGGCAGCTGTCATTTGTAAGGAGCACACGGAGCTCCTGGGATTTGTACATCTCTGTTTTCATGTACGATTTTGTTTTTTTAACTATAAATAAAGGGATGCACAGATACCAGTTTTGCGAGTACTGGTACTTGCCGAGTACTTACAAGTACGAGTACTGATGCATTTTTGTTTATTATCATGTGACAGTTTTTCTAAAACAACACAGACTAATGATTTCAGGACAGTGGTGGAGGGCCAGAGCCACGTCCCAGCTGCAACCCTGGTAGATCTCATGAAAATGCCAAGTATCAGCACTGGTATCGGTGCATCCCTACTAGCGTCCTCCTGTGACCCAAAGCTCAGTATATCGCGAGCTACAGCTCGCAGTCGAGACAGATCCTGACATTACAAAGTAACATCCACCTATATGTTACTTTGAATGGCCCACTTACACCTACGCGTTTTAAAGTGACATTAAACCCCTTTTTTGCATATATCTGCTGCTAGCAAGCATTAGATACAGTATATGAAATAACATTTAAAAAAAAAAGTTGGCAAATAGGTTTAAACTTTCCATCGTTTCGCCGTGCGCTCCCGTCCGAAGATCAGAAGATTCTCGGGCAGCTGCAAAAGATAATGGGGCGGACGCAAGCGCTGTAGAAATCGCCAGACGGGAGACGAGGAGAGACACCGGGTTAGTCAATGCAGGCAGCCGTGCACCGCACAGATTCCGTGGGACAGGAAGAGACGGGAGTCTGAGCTGGAACAGAGACCGGCACCAGCGCTGGAGGAACTCCTGAAAACTACTGGAAAGAAGATGATCGGATCAAGAAGCATCATTTAAGGTAAGTCCTTAGACCAGCATAGGGGGGGGGGGGGGGGGCTTTT